ATAATACTTTTCATTTAGCGGCTGTTGATTGATTTATGGCACTCGGCTCTTAAGCATACAAATGGTACTTTATACACGGACAGAAAATTGTTTGCATTGAACCAAAAAAAAACTTTAGTTGTAGGTATTTACACAAACAATTCCGGTTGAAATTATATTGCATTTTATTGTTTCGATAATATTTATTCAAATAAATTAAAAATAGGATTCTTTTGTTTTCATAAGCCACTCTTCAACTGCAACTATTGTAAAAATAACAATATTCTTTTATCAAGCCAACAATAGTTAATTTTAATTTAACATTTATTTGTTGTGTCAATTCCCCGGGCCATGAATGCAAAAAAAAACTACCAACCATTCCCTCGTGAAAACCCGGACAAAAATGTAAACAATAACAAAAAAATTCTCGTTTGATTCAGCTCTAGAGGTAAGTAAGTATGCTGCTGTTGCAAAATATAAACAGTTTTTCTTTTTTTCCTTGATTTTTTCCGTCGATCTTATTTTCAGTACTGAGTACCAATGCTCCCAACGCCAGGAAGGCCGCTCCCACACCTGGACCCTACCTATCGACCCATCAACTCATGAACCGGAGAGATTTTATGCCTCAGAAAGTTTTTTTTTTAATTTAATTGTAATTCTGTTGGTAACAAATAGAAAACAAAACATAAAAATAATCGCAAATTATTAAAAATTGAATCAATAAACATATTTTTATTTCTACTGCGTATATTTTTAGGCTTAATAAAATAAATATGATGGAATCAACAAGAAATCTCTTTTAAAAACAAACATATTTTTTGTTGACCCAGCTGCCAAATTTGACAGCTTATGTCAAAACCATAAAAGCTTTGTAAATTCGAAAAGATTTTCTTTTTGATTTAACAATCCATGGGTTTTTAAAAACAAAGATACTGGATTGTTGAAATAATAATGATTTCATTTTGCAGCCAAAACAAAATGAAATTCTTATTAAATTTACGTCAAATATTATAACGTTTAAATTTGACAGCTTACGTCAAAACCATAAAAGCTTTGTAAATTCGAAAAGATTTTCTTTTTGATTTAACAATCCATGGGTTTTTAAAAACAAAGATACTGGATTGTTGAAATAATAATGATTTCATTTTGCAGCCAAAACAAAATGAAATTCTTATTAAATTTACGTCAAATATTATTACGTTTAAAATATTTTTTCTGCGTGTATAATAGGCCCAACCATGATTCAAATTTTATTGCTGAATAAAAACTTTCAATAAAATCCTATTATGAGAATTTTATTCATTCTTTAGTATAATTAGAAACTGGAAAGGTAGACTTTTTCGCCAAACCCAAAAAAAATGTCATGCCCATATGTTATACATTAATGTCCCGATTTTGCCAGCGCCTCCGCGCATCAGACTTTACTTGTTAAATAATTTCAGATAACCGGAATTCAAAATCTTTCTCAAAATCTCATGTTCAAGGCATGCTTGAATGCAATAAGACCACTGAAAATGCACATGGAATTCGTAGAACATTAGAAAATATTTTCAAAAAGGGGGCTGACAAAATCGGGTCATTACTGTATTCATAGAAAAAACACGGCACATATTTATACGCAGTGCGAAAATGACATAAATAGGTCCACCCAAAATCCATTACATTAAATAAAATTACATTTCAATTACACTAGGTGCTCCAGCTACTACAGTAACTTACCAGCCATAATTGTTATGATATATATCTAAGTGTTTTTACATTGTTCCTGCCTTAGAAATTCAGTATTTAAACAGATTTTTTAAACCTGCATGTCAGTATAACACATCTAATAACTAAAACTAATTATATTCGAAATTAATCATTGCAATTGAGGATTGCAATGATTTTTGCCTGAAATTATTAATTATTTTGTTGGACATTTGTTCTAAAGTCTCCACATTCAAAATTCTATGTACCTCGGTAGTACTGTACCAGGAAGATAACTTCAAAATCATTTTCAACACTTTGTTCTGAATACTTTGAAGTGTTTTTTTCCTGGTAGTGCAACAACTAGACCATATTGGCACAGCGTAAAGCATGGCCGGTCTAAAAACTTGTTGAAATATTAGAAGTTTATTCGTCAGGCAAAGTTTGGATTGCCTATTTATAAGAGAATACAAACATTATATATTTATGTTACATTTGGCTTGAATGCCCTCAATGTGATCTTTAAACGTTAATTTTTGATATTTCACTTGGAAATTGTAACTCAGTTCATAGTGACTATGTGACTACTACTAGGTTTGAAAAAGGAAGCTCTAGGATTATGTGGAAATAGTATAAGTTGAGTTTTGGAAGCGTTGAGAGAAATCTTCCATTTTTGTAATAAGAAGAGAAAAATCTAAACTTTTCTGCAGTCTGCTGCAAATAACAAGAAGGCTTGCGAAGAAATGCCCGTGTCATCGGCGAACAAAGATTTGTGGCAACCCTGAGGCAAATCAGGGAGGTCCGAAGTGAATATGTTATACATTATAGGCCCAAGAATGCAACCCTGCTCTAACAGGTAGTCATTCAGATTTGGAATTTTGAAAATTTACCTGCAGAGTTCTGTCAGTTAAATAATTTTAAACTAATTTCATAATATAGAGTATAAAATTAAACTTTTTCAATTTAGCAATCAAACCTTCATGCCAAACACTGTTGAATGCTGCAACTCCAATTGAGCAGCCTTCAGATTTGTTTGAACGAATTATATTGGTAATTCTTAAGAGTTGATAAGTAGTTGAATGCCCATAGCGAAATCTAAACTGCCCATCTGCAAAAATTGAGTTCGTATTGATGTGAAGCATCATTCTATTTAAAACTATCTTTTCAAAAAGTTTACTTATTGAAGTGAAAGCAAATTTATTGGACGGTAGCTAGATTTTTATCAGCTTCAGCTAGATTTTTATCAGGCTTCAAAATTGGAACAACTTTTGCATTTTTTTTTTCATTTATCATGAAAGTATGCCCAATGGATACATCTGTTAAATAATTTTACCAAGAAAGACAAGGTGCTCTCTGGGAGTTTTTTATGTGGATGTAGAAAATACCATCATCACCTGGTGCTTTCATATTCTAACACTTTTTAGTTGTAGATCTTACTTCGTCCAAATCAGTCCCCCAGGAATCATCAAAAATATTTTCCTGAGAGAAAATATTCAGTTAATCTCGAGCAACCCGATTCTCAATAGGACTAGAAAGACCCACACTAAAATTATGGGAACTCTCGAATTGCTGATCAAAATTTTACCACCTTCTTTAAGCGCTGGAATAGGCTTTTGAGGTCTTTTCAAAAAATTTGTGAGTTTTCAAAAGGGTTTGGAACTTGGGTCTAACTTAGAAACATTATTTTCAAAAGTTTTGTTCCTCAGGGCAGAGAATCGCGTTTTAATTTGTTTTTGCAAATCCCGCCAGATAACTTTCATGATCGCGTGTTCTTGATATTGCCTCCTACGGACATTTTTAAGACGGATCAAGAGCTGAAGATCGTCGTCTATTATAATTGAATCGAATTTAACATCGCATTTTGGTATTGAGGCTTCAACTATAGAAGTAGTTAGAGATTCAAGAGCATAATTAATTTCATCTTTGGTTTGCAAAGGAATTTTTGGATCAAAGCTATATACCATAAATGTTCGATATTGCTCCCAACCATAGAGCTGCTCTATGGTAATTGAAAATAGAGCTGTTGGGATTAGAAATTATTTCTTGGGATATTTCAAACGATACTAGAAGGTGATCAGAACCGAAGCCAGCGAAACATTGAACTACTTAAAAATTTAAGATTAAGTATAATAGTCATAAATGCATGACATAGGGGAACGGGATGTAATTTTGGCCTAAATTCCCCTAATTTGGGCCCATACATAATTTCAGCAATCGCTAAATTTTCAATAGCGACCAAAAATATCCATAAGTACCGTCCCAATGACGTGTTCATCTAGAAAAAATGGATAAACATTTTTAGCGATGGGCCCAATCTTAGATCCATAAGCCAACATTAGAGCCATTTCCCCTACATCAAGCGTAGTTTTACGTCATACTGCGGTCGTGTCTAGGACACAACCCTTTATTTTTACGACATCAACACTGAACGTCTGTTCAAGGTTGTCTTGAAAAGTCTGCTCTCCCTGGATCAGATCAAAGTTGATTTGAGAAAATTACATGGAGTTGAGCCTGTCCAAGTAATCAAAATGAAAATGAAATCCCGTGCTGACGATTCGGGCAACGGGCTTTCTAATGATTTTTATTTAGTTCACTTGAAGTCTAGTGCACTAAACAACCTTAAGGTCTTGGAAGTGGGAACACTTAGGGAAGACTGGAGGAAATTTCCAAAACCTCACCCACTGCCGTAAGTTCCAGGGATAATGTCAAGGAACAAAAATTGCTCCATTAGTTTTAGTTTTTAGTTTTAAGGTGTAAATTTTTATACTGACATGCAGGTTAAGAAAATCTGTTAAAATACTGAATTGCCAAGGCAGGAACAATGTAAAAAAATAGATGAAAACCCCAAGATATATATCATTGCAATTAGGGCTGGTAAGTTACTGTAGTAGCTGGAGCACCTAGGTTAAAATGAATTTGGAACGCATAAACAGTTAAAAAATCATACAAATTTCATTCATAGTTCGAACTTTCCTTTATCGACAGAAATGATTGTAGTACCGTTGTACTCATGGGCCTGACACGCCGCCATCTTTTTGTAGCCAGCATAAAAACGTGACCAAATATCAATCTGAGCGGGCCCAGAATGTGGGCCCGCGGCTATGCTTGTTATGGTTCCTTGTTATTAGTAGAGATAGGGGCGCCACCAAGGTAGTTGTACTCCTTTAATCCAGAACCACAATCGACGTCTAGGTATATTAAAGGAGTTTACCGGTACTACAATCATGTCTTCAATTGTATTACCGATTTCTTTTGAACTTTAGAAAATAAACGAAACACTTTTTTTATTATTTCTATACCTATCCCGTGTTACGTAAAACATCGTTTCGTTTTAGTTGTGTACCAGACTTTAAATGGAGATAAAACAATCTACGTGGACTTCAAATTACAAGCAAGGGAAAAAAGGAATTTAGAGGTGCTTGGAAAAGTTGCCAATTCAACTGTAGAGGAAAGGATGCAGTATTCTGAAATACCCCGTGATCCTTCAACAGATAGTCTACGATATAAGGAGGTAGGTAACAAGTACAATAAAACAAATATATATTTATTTTTATATTAATGATTATCTCTGATTTTAGTATTCCGATGGAAACCTCCATAATCCGAATGCACGAGATGAATCACCACAAAGTGATATTTCCACAAAAAGTGGTCCAGGACTTCCTCTTATTAGTTCGTTTGAAAATAACCATGCCATTATACATCAACCAAGTAAATGTCAATGTCGCAAAAAACCCTCAATAGCTTCCATAGGGCCAATTGATGCAATAATCGACCGTAGTAGGGCGACTACGTACAGGTAAAGTATTGTCAGATCATGCAAAATGTGTACACAATTTTTTATAAAAAATGAATGTATCTTAAAGTTTTAAGATCATAGTTTGGGACCTGTAGTTTCATAGTCTGTGTGGTTTAATATATTTCATCGTGATTTAAAATATGTTTTTCTTAAACAGATGCTCGGCAACGGTCAAAAATAACACTATGCCATTAAACCTGGAGGCTCACCCTCCATTTGGTAGCTAAGGGTGTTACAAAGAAAAACTACTATGTGACGAAAACTCTGGAAAACGAGTTTCAGCGATTAGATTTTTTCAAAAATAAAGTCATATTCCTATTAATGCCCCTATGAAACCTAACCCCATATTAATTAATTTTTACGCATTTCTTGGAGCTAAAACAATATAAGAGAAACTAGTAATGTCAATTTTAACGTAGAACTTTTTTTTATATGGTGTACCTTTTGCGTTTGGTTTTGAACGCTTATAACTCTCTTATAACTTATAGAAAGAAAAAAATAACCATTGATTTTCAACAATATACTATTAAAGAATTGGAAAATGTCAAGCATAGTCAAAAGCATCATAATAATCAATAAATCTAACAGTTACGTGCATGAATCCATGATGGACATCAAATAGTTGGTATCAAACGAAACAAGCCGACGTCGCATTTCCACATAGCGAATAAATTGACAGGAATTCGAATATCATATGGATTTTTGCAAAACGATGTTCTTTAAAATTTCATATGATTACGATTATTTTTTTTTAAATTGAGTGTACCCAATGAAATATACTTTAAATATGCATAGTATGCAGCTTAGCCACCAGAAATTGGTTAAAATTTAATTGATTTTCCAAATGAAAAATAATAATGAAAAAAAAAACGGTGCAGCTGGGATCGAACCATGAGCGCTGAGATTACGATGCCCATGTCTTGACCACTTGTCTGTCAACGCTTGAGAAATGGAAAATGCTAAAGAGCAGTCCACGTTATATGACGAATCGGAAAAACTCGACCTTCTCCAAATTGTATGACACTGTGCATAAAATTTGGACATTTTGGATCTTGTAAAATTTTCAAAATGGCCTATGAAATTTTTTTTAAAGTTGATTGAAATGACGTCTGAGACAAAGCTGTAGAAAAAAAAAATAATGGGAAAAATATTAAAAGAAAGTTTTAAGTAATCTGAAGTGAAAATAAAAAATAAAATAAACGCAAATATCTCAAAATATCCTTGATGATTTTTTAATTATTATTTAAAGTATGGACACTTGAACATTTACAAAATTCGTAAAACGAAAATTTTGGTGAATATTTTGAACTATCGTTAAATCCTTGTGTTGTGTAGTGTAACGTATACTCCAGAACATTTTAAATATTTGTATGTGTAAAAAATATACAAAAAAGCCTACTATCAAAAAACAAATAAAAAATTTAGCATTTTTTTACATTTTTAAACAATAAACAATATATAGGGTAGAGAACTACTTCGGCCTAATCGCCCATTTGGGCCTATCGAGCAGAAAACTTCAAATAAATTCATGATTTCAGAGTTAACAAGTCAATTACGCGTTTGGTACGATACTTTAGTTAATAAGCTACCGAACGAAGTCAATAAGAACGTGTGGTATGAAGATTTGCACCCATTATTCTCAAAAACAAAAGAAGCGCTCCGATGGAATCAATTTTTATCTTCATCCGATAGGCCGAAGTGAATTCATTGGCGTTTAAATGGAGTTTCAATGCGTTAGGCCGAGTTTAGAATCCGTAGGCCGAGTTTGGCGTCTAGAAGCAGTGTTAGACTTTTGACAATATCTCAACGATTGGTTTCTTTTTATCAAATCTTACGGTACGTACGGAAAGGTAAATAAATTTGGAAGCCATCAGTGATAATAAAATTCCGTTTGGTGCTAAACTGCGCTAGATTAAGAAAGACTAAGTGCGGGTTGTGCTTAATAGGCCGGAAATGGGGTAGTTAACCCTATTAAAAAAATTGCTTATTTTTCCCAGAGAGACATTTAGACAGACACACTTATTATACTGCTATGAATTGACATGCAGCATAATTCTTTTACCTCGAATATTACGATGGCCTTTAGAACTGGATTCCGGGACCCCCAAAACCGATGTAAATGTAGCCAGATGTCATCGTATATATGATAGTTAATACTTTGTATGGTTGAGGCATGTAAGAGGTGCTTTACCTACCTTGCCATTCAGGGTCGTATATACAATTGATCTCCAGGAGAAATTGCAATGGGGCAGACTTTCATCCCAATATTGGTGGAAAGGCGGAATTTACAAAAAAGATGGCGGAAAACAAGATTTTCTTTACAAAACAAAATTTGAATACATATTCAGTTAAAGTTTAGACGGCCAGACATTTTTATTTAGACAAAACCCAGATAATTAGGAAAGCTGGGCTTCTTCTTTCTTTTTTTTTGGTTAACCTTTACGCATTGTTCGAATTTCGTGAGCTCACCGTTGCGGCCGTTTGATGGTCGACATGCTGGGACATCGGGACTGACTGCTACCGTTGAATCTCCGGAACACAGCGACTTCTTCTTCTTCTTCTTCTTCTTTTTCTTCGGGGTTTCTTTGCTTCAGCACTGTTCCCACAATTAACAAGGGAATCACTAGCGTGACGGTAAGGCTCTCATAATGTGGGCCAGTGTGTCCGGGGAGTGGTACAGTTCGTGTATACACTGTTCTTCTTTAGTGGTCATCAAGCGAGCTGCACCACCATTTGTGAGACGGACAGTCACAGTCTTTACGCAATACCACTATTTTCACTGTCCGCTCGACCACTGTACATTGTTCACTTCAACTGCAGTTTTTTTTTTAAATGTTCACCACTAGCTCGCTTGACCTATTCGTGCGTTAACGGTCAATGCGGTATAACGCGGCTAAGACTAACGTCTTACATTTGGGGTGCACTTTCTTAGCCGTTCGTGGTGATTTACACAATTGACCCGCACTAATTAATTTTTTTTAAAGCTTTTAAGTTGTGTGGTATTATCGCTGTTTTTTTATTACTTTAATTTGTAAGGTTTAAGATTTAGATTTTCAATTTTAATCTATACTTAAGCGCAAACTTACGCGGAACTACTACGGTTAGTTTTTGACGTCCTAACTCGCACAACCGTCACTTGTCTTCACTCCGCCGGACAAATAAAATACAAAAAAGAGCCCTGACTCTATTCGACCGCCCCTTTTTATAGCAGTCGATGAGTCAGCGCAATTGAAGCGACCCCATCATGATTATCATCACAACACACACAAAGATGACGACGATGACGATGAATCGCGATGATGAACGAATGATGACAGCAGCGATGACGGAACGATGACGGAACGATGACAGGCGTGATGACGGTACGAAAACTTACACACTAAAATGGTTTCGGTTGGTATCATAAACAAACTACTCATTTACTCCGACAAAGTGGCTGCATGCATAGCCTTAACAAATTCAAAATCCCTAACACTTGCTTCCGCGAATAAATAAATAAATATGAAAAATATTGAATAAATAAATAAATATGAAAAATATTGAATAAATAAATAAATAAGTAAATAAAGAAATAAATAAATAAATATATAAATAAATAAATAAATAAATAAAAAAATCTAATATTTACAGCCGGAGTAATAACAAAAATCAAAACAAATATTTTGATACACGAGATACCAACCAGGAAGTATACAATTAACTGATTTTTTTAGAGGTCTGAAGGACCTCCATCTAAGCCTCTGGTAACTGGTCTAGCCACGGTCACCGTCTGAGGTGGGCATTACATGTGCCATCTTTTAAATATACAGTTAATTATACACACCCTTAAGCTACAAAATGAAAAATAAACGTCACTCAAACACTATACAAAGCGGAGACAGACATTTATTTGACATTCGAGTACCAGGGAAATCTTAGACGACACAAAACATAAATATTTACAATTTTTCAGTGTGTCTAAACCTCCAACTGGCCTTTCCATCAAACAATTTATTGTGACCCGAAAGTCGTCGGTCACAATCTTCCCGGAGTCGGGGTAAAAAAACGAAGTTTTTTTTTCTGTCAAAATCGGGACGATTTTTGGATCATCAAACAATTCGTTGCTCTGATAACGAAAATGTCACTGTCGAGATTGTTCTGTAGTGCGTCAGAAAAAACCGCGATTGTAGCCACCGTCACAGTTGTTGAGTTCAATTACAAATCATTAATTTTCACCTCAACCGTTTGGGTTGATTTTAAATTATTTCTTTAGAGACCAAACTGCTTTCTTCGTCTCTTTCCATATCTACTGTCACAAAAATCATCTTGGACAACAAAACTCTTACCATACTACCTCATTCATGCTTATTCATTCATACAAATACATTCAGAATCCCCCGCATTCATAATTCCATTCATTCGCTCAATTTTACAAACTAATTGCCTTATTAATGCTAGTTTGTTTTGAGCTTTTTGGTATATCTAGAATTTACGAATACGTGTAGGGCGCCCTATAACTAATTTATCATAATATTACTCTCCTAGGATAGAGTGACTATGATCTTTAGTTAAATTAAAGTTGAATGTACTCACTCAGTTCACATTTCATTAAACTCTCTTGCTTTTGCAAGTGAAAAAGATTGAAATTGCGTTGAATGACGTAATTCTAATTTAGAGTGCATTCATTCGGAAATCCGACATGAATGTGGCTGCGTGCGTTCATTTAGACACACCCCTACACTCTGGGTGCTGTCATTGAACATCTGTCAATGAACTCGTAAACGTGATGATGGCAACAACAAAACGTAGAAAACTGATGACGGACTGGAACATGATGCTGCAAATTATGTGATTTTACTGGTAAGTATGTTGCTAATCCCATAAGTTTTGTTTTATTTTTAGGAAAACCTTTCGGAAAAACGATCATGATCCAAAATGCGACGGAATATTCGTTATCTAGGCTTGAAGATTACGTGGACATACATTTAGTACTGTGTTGTTCATATGTATCCCTACGATGA